GAAAAGCTCTCAGCTTAGCTTGTGCTGTAGTGATTTTGGAAATTTCAAAAGTCTGATTCATTCTTAAAATAATAATAATAATAATAATAAAATGAATAAATGGCAGGTTTGTGGTAGGATGAAAAAAACGAAGGTAAAAGACTACATTTATTTAAACCAAACAAATCGAAACGTAAAGTGTAAACACAATAAAACCACTAAGAACGGACAATATTAAAAAAATATATATCTATTTAAAAACTAGGAATTAAAACAAGAACTAAAATGAAAGCTAAAATCGAAACGTAAAAAAAAAAAAAAAAAAAAAAAAAAAAAAAAACTGAGACACAACATAAAATAACATTAAAATATGCTAAAATCTAAGACGGTCCAGCAAAATAAATTCAAAGGCTCTTATAAACATTGCATTATCTTCATATATCATTGCCTTTGGTTTCTGTGGCCATAAACATCCACTCTACTTAACTCTTTGGTCCGGTGGGTCTTGCAGCTCGAAAAAAAGGGCGATCCCAGAGTCCCTGCGTTAACCCTGTGGCCTGCTCGATTAATCTGCCCGTCAGACAAAAGTCGAGAGTGGACGAAAAAAAACAAAACATGGCGGACGCTTATCTTCTGGTTCTATCAACGCGATGCAAACGGGACAACGCTTGGCAGCGGAGGACTAGACAAACGAGCGCCGGTCTCACATCATCAGCAGCACATACATCATCAGCAGCACATACACCATCAACACACTCACAGGACAGGACAGGATCTGTAGAGTAAAGTGCAGCTTAGGGACATGAGAAACAGGCCATAGCTATTTAAAAGGAGTATGCATTGTTCAAAGTCAGTCAAAATGTTCTGCTGGATCGACGACCTGGAAAAACATTCATACTCTAATCACAACCATTCATCAATAAAGGCCATTCACCATAAAAGTCATCCACCATAAAAATCATCCACTAGAAGTCATTCACATGAGGAAGGAAAGAAGAAAAAAAATAAAACAAGTAACATGATCGGCTCAAGTTCAATATTGGCATCAGTATAGAACACCTGCCACTAGGTTCTGAAAGTTGATAACTTGTATATTATAGGAATATACATTATTAGAAGACAAAAAATTTCAATAGAGTACATAGTCACACTATCTCTGAGCACTAGGGTTCTTGGGGTGGATAATAGGGGCTTTAAGTAATTAGCATGATCTCTACGCTCATGAGCTTCTCCATACAGATTCCAACAGGAATACAACAGGCTCTAATTTCTTCACAACACAGGCTGGGCCTTCCCAACGGGGCGACAACGTATTTAATCACCCGTATACCTTTGTGAGAACCAATGATCCTTCCTTCAAAGACAGAAGCTTCCTGACCTTCCGATCGCAATCCCTGGTCCGACCCATTCCAGCTTCCCTGCATGCTTCCTGAACAGCAGTCCAGGCTAACTGCAGTCTGTACCGCAAGATATGTGGTGCGACATCATCATAGATTGGTTTCATAGTCAGTCCTATGGGCATATTAATTGGGTGACCCGGGAACAAATGTCAACCTCAGAGTAAACCTCACCTGAGAAAAACATCATCCCAGTAATATGCAGCCTGGTCACAAAGAGCAGTCAGAGCTTCGTTTACCACTCTTGATGCTCTCTACCATACCGTTTGCTTGAGGATTGTATGGTAGTGTCAGCTTAACCCATTCGCGCCGGGTGTCACGTATACGTGACAGGCCCACTGTGAGTTTACTTGTTTAATTGTTTTTACACATAGAAGGCTACACTTGTACATGTACGGCCTGTGTCATCTGTTTACCCTTTTCCTTAATTTACGAAAATATTTTACGTTATCTTATTTTGCTCTTACTAATGTTCATAACATTATAGTGATTATAATGTTTATAATAAAAATAACCACCGATATTCATAGCACTAGTGTAGAGAAATTTCACAAAAAGTATAAAAAACGAGCACAGCATTTCCCCCCATTTTTTGTTCGTTTTTACCCGGCGTGAATGGGTTAAATTTTGTCTGGAGTTCACGGCAAACAGAAGCCAAGAGGTTGCTATTAAACTCTGCTCCCCCATCAGCTTTGTTACACTGTAACAAAACTGTCAATGAATGCAGTGGCAATAGTTTCAGCTCGCTTAACAGACGGAGGTACTAACTCCAAGTAAAAGGATAGCTGGTCAACTATCACTAAGGTATAAATATTTCTTCTTTCTGTCGGTGGTAACTGAATCAGGTTTGCTGAAACCCTTTAAAGAGGACAACTTCTGGTGCTGCAGCTAGTGGTGCATTTTTGCTGTAGTGGCCTTTCTTCATCTGGTAATCTGGGCATGTCTTGACAAACTGTTTAGTAAAAGAGAGCATATTGGAGATATAGAACATTATTTTGGTTTATTAAATGTTCTGAATATACCTGGATGTGCTGACGGGTCAGGCATGGGAAAGACGTAAGGCTGACTCTTTCAAATGGCGAGGCACAACAACCCTGCGAAGAATCCGGTAAACCCGAGTCCTGCAAATGGTACAAGACCCCATTCCCGACTTCAAATTCAGCCAAGGATGCTGGTAACTTTGCAGTAGGAACTAATCCACACTCTAGGTACTCGACTATCTGTGCCCAGGTAGGGTCCTTTAGCTGTTCTGCACATAAAACTAGTGGATCATTATCCTCCAGTATCTCTGTGGTAGCAACCAGAGTGGTTTTAGCTCTTGATATCATATCAGGAACATGGTGTATAGCTTCTTCTTATAGATATCAAAGTTATAATGTGGCAGGTCAATACACCATCGAGACATCCTAGGACTTTTGGTCTTCCTGGTGAACACAAACCAGTGGGCGGTGATCTGTATACACAGTGAATTTCTGTCCATAAATGTATGGGTCGAAGGCCCTTACTGCCTCTACAACAGTGAGTGCCTCAATGCCAGTGGCACTGTAGCGAGTCTCTGGTCCATTCTTTTTTCTGGAGAAATATGCCACAGCATGAGGCGTGCCCTCTGTGTCACGCTGCATCAAACATGCGCCGATGGCTACACACACACACACACACACACACACACACACACACACACACACACACACACACACACACACACACACACACACACACATATGAGCCCCATCACTAAATGCTGTCTTAGGTCGATCTTGAGGTTCCACAGGGATAGCCCAGTAAGCAGAACGAGCATCCAACAAGGTGAAAATGCAGCTCTGGTGTAAGTCATCAATAACTTGTTGTCTATGGGCTATGGGATAAGTCCTATGCTGTTATTGCATTTACAGTATGGAAATCAACACAAAACCTTACTCTTCCATCCTTCTTACAGACGAGAATCACTGGTGAAAGCAAACGACTTGTGGAGTATTCAATGACACCAGCCTTGGCCATTGCATTACACTGTTCACGAACAGTCAATTGGGCCGTTTGTGGTAACCTCCAGTCCAGGCTCGCTGTCTGCTTGTAACAGTGGGTGAGGCTTCACTTGTTTGTATTCTGTGGGTAACACCAGGAATTGTCCCTATGCCCAGAGTTTCAGCACTGAAAAGTCCAGAAAACTTACTCAAGAGATCTCAAAAAACGGTCTTCTCAGGATCCTCCACATGATCTAAGCATGGCAATTCATTATGGTTATCTTCAGAAGGAACTAAGAGATTTGTAAGTGCTGGAGCTGTAACAACACTCACCTGGGGTTCCTTCTCCACAGCGTTAACGACGGACTAGACACAGGTAAGGTGACGGCGGCAGCAGCATCCGACGGACTGGACACAGGTAAGGCGGCGGCGGCAGCAGCATCCGACGGACTGGACACAGGTAAGGCGGCGGCGGCACATCGGTCAAGTCTGCAAGCAGAGTTCCTCCCATTAACTACCCAGATAGGAATTGTCCCATTAGTTGGAGTAACCACACTTTTAGGTAGAACTAAAGCATCATTAGATGCCTCATCCAAAATTGCTTGTGCTTTTCCAAGCATAGACGGTACTTCTGGCGAAAGGAAGCGACCAGATTTTGACTGAAGGGTGATTGATGAACAAACTCGAGCTTTGAGGGTGTACATTTTCTTTGATCATTTTTCCCACTTTAGTTTTTACCACATTTATACTGTCCTAGTCTCAAAGTAACGGTTTGGTTAAAGTATACAAAAGGACCGCACCGACTAGGAGAAAATTCAAAATGATAGCGTTGTAGGCAATGAAAAACTACATTGACTGATATCAAAAGTAATTTGCAGAAGCCTACCGATTCCAGTTAAACGACGAAAATAGATCGGGGTGAATGCCGCGCTGCGTCTAAGTCTACTCGGCGTTGACGGGGCTAAGTCCACACGCGACCTATGTTTACTAAGTTCTCGCGCATTGTTAACACCGCGCGCGTAAACTAAGGATGGCCACTTTGACGGCCGGTCAGTTTCAAGTATGACTGACCGGTGTTAAGACGGTGACAGTGGATTTGGTGTTTTTTTTTTTCTTTTTTTTTTCTAAAAAAAAATCAGGTAAAACTGAGGAAGTGATTCACATTTGCAGAGAACATGGCCTTATACTAAATACTACCGAGTGTGCAAAGTGTGGGGCAGACTGCCAAACGGATATAACGGATATACACTAAGGTATGTAAAACGATGACAGTAAAACTAGTGGGAAATACAGCAATCGGGAGGGGGTCCGGGGGCGGAGGCCCCGATAGGGAAATACGGCGATCGGGAGGGGGTCCGGGGGCGGAGCCCCCGATAGGGAAATACGGCGGTCGGGTTACACTAGGCTTGGCTAGGCTAGGTTAGGTTTTTATTATTTTCCACTTCATGGTACTTTATTATTGCCGTTAATTAGCGATCTCCTCGCTATTCACGCCCCCCCCCAAAAAAAAAAAAAAAAAAAAAAAAAAAAAAAAAAAAAAAAACGGTTCCCCACAGGATCCCCCAAGATTGTTGGCTGTAGTTCGGGACTTGGTCTCCGACGGGTGCGGTCCTCTTATAAACATTTACCAACGGTTTTAAAGTTACTGGCAACTTAACTTAACATCCAAATTGGTTCCAGACACTCCCAAGAGCTTCCTACTTGGTTTAAGGTAATGTTTCTGTGTCTATCAGGCACCTTAACTTGACGCCTTTCACATGTAGATGAATCATGGGTCTACCAGCTTTGCAACTTCTCATCGGCCTCCCAAAGAACTGCTCCCGAAATTTTGACGTAAGGTTCAGTCCAGGCTCGCTGTCTGGCCTGGCTATCTGGAAAGGGGCAGTTTTTTTCCGATTATGTCCAGATTGACTACATCCCCAGCATACATACTGTATTATGGAAAATAATAGTGAATTATATAAGAAGCAAGTATTAATTTTTGAAAATTGTGTAATTTTGTGATACTGAAATGAAAAGAAAAATTTGTACAATTTAAGTTAAGTATGGATTCCCAATGCACAAGGTTATCTGGAAGCGTTGTTGAGTGAATGAATGCTACTCTCTGTGTTTTGATTTTGTTGCTGTATAAAATGCTATAAGCATATACATCATGAATCTATTGTGTTCCTTCTATACAGCCTGATGACTGACAGATTTGATTTGAGGCTGAAAACCATCTTTCAGGGACAAGGTGCCATGATGTAAGTGTTTTGATCCATTGTTAGAAAATATGATATTATAAATTTGTGTTATCTCTCCAATAGATTTAATATAATTTGATTATTATGGAATATTTTGTTTTGTTACTGCTTCAGTATTTTGAATTACTGTTTGCAGGTTGAATGAAACTTACAGTGAATATTGATTTGGATCTACTACAAGTTCAATAAATCATTCTACACATGGAGTGTTTGGAACCATCCCTGATAGATGAGAGTTAAGCGATACACTTACCCTTTTGGTTTCGCTCGGCAGTCACGGGTGGAATGTCCTCGTTGGCGGTGAAAAGCACAGTATGATTGCTCACCAACTGCAGAAGTTTCTTGTTCCACTCTTGTATTTTGGAGCCTTGTAGTCTGGGATGCTGTAAACATACCTAGAACTACCATTCAATGGGAATGTGTCACCTCACTATCATTCACTAGGAATGTTCATGCTCTAACTACAATTTAATTGAAATGCTTGAGAACTACATCAGGATCTTCCATTCAAAAGGAATCCTCGGGATTTAACTACCATTTAAAGGGAATATTTGGGATCTAACTACTAAGACTATGAAAGCTCAGGATTTAACTACTATTCCCTAGTAATACTCAGGATCTAACTACCATTCCCTGGCAATACTTGGGATCTTTCTACTATTCATTAGGAATGCTCAGGATCTAACTACTATTCACTAGTAAAGGTAGGGATCTATAAACCTTACAAAAGAAATGCTCAGGATATCACTAGAATGCTTTGGTTATTACTACCATTCAAAACGAATGCTTGGGATCAAACTACCAATTACTAGGAATGTTCAGGATAGAACCACCAATCCCTAGCAATGTTCCGGTAATTATTCCCATTTAAATGGAATGTTCGGAATCTAAATATCAATAAAAAATTCTCTGGATCTGACTACCATTCACCACGAATATTTGGGATGGAAAAGCCATTCAATAGGACTGATCGTGACCTCACTACAGTTCACTTGTAAAGCTTAGGATCTAATGATCATTAGGAATTATCTAATGGTTCTTAGGAATGCTTGGCATCTAATTTATCATTCAATAGAAATGTTCAGAATCTATCAATCAGTACGAATGTTCAGAATCTATCATTCAATAGAAATCTTTGGGATCTAAGTACCATTCAACTACGAGGGTTCTCTCTACCATTTAAAAGGAATCAGGATCTCAATACCATTGAAAAGAAATGCTCGGGATCTAACTGCCTTTCAATAAGGAATGCTCTGGATCTACCAATGACTTGGAATGCTCTGGATCTTGCCACCATTCACCAAGAATTCTCGGAATCTCATTTAAATCCATTTAAAAAAGAATGTTTGGGATCTCTACCATTCACTAAGAATGCTTAAGGATCTCAATACCATTCAATAGGAATGACTAGGATCTAGCTACCATTCACTGGGAATGCTCGGGATCTACCTTTCACTAGGAATGCTTGGCATCTACCTCTCCTAAAGAATGTTCAGGAATGGAGGAAGAGGACGACGACGACGACGTGGAGGAAAACACAACCAATCTAAAACTGTAAGAGAAAACTTGAATAAATTAAGGGAACACTATTTTAAAATTCACGTTTTTGGAGGAAAGATATTCATTCAGGTTAGGTTTCAATTTTAATTTCCATTAGCTTTCTTTTTTTTTTTTTTTTTAATTCAGATCAGATTAGGAGGTGTCAAGAACTTCTTGTTTACTATAAGAAAAAGGACAATTTTCTTTCAGAGAATGACTTCTGATTGAAGACGTGATTTGAGAGCTTGGTTTTTGCTACAGAGAAAGACACTAAGTAAAGGAAAACCTGATTTTTAAAACTAAATTTCATCTACACAACGATGCGTGGGGGACCGGAGGTTTAGGGGGGAGGGGGGAGGACAATAGGAACTTGGAGAAATCGAAAGTGATTTATGAAACCTTAAAAATTCACATTTTCGAAAACACGAGTCTGTCCGACGGACGAAAATGGCTTCCGAGTGAGCAAGCGCAAAGCAAGTCCATTTTCAGAAACGTCGAGTCAAGTTTCTAACAATACAATTATAATAACACTCTTTAGGCCACGTAAGTACAGTGTGGTATCAGACGAACACAAAACTCCAAACCTAACCTTATCTACCATCTATTTATTCTCCAGACGGAGGGGACAGACACATATAACCCCCCCCTTAATTAGTACTTCGTGTCAAGTGTCCCATCAAAGTTACAGAAAATATTTGTCGCACATACCGTCAGTGTGGAGGGTACAGGTGAGCTGCCCAGCCATAGTCTTGCTTGGAAATAGAAAGTCCCTCCCTGCACACTCGCAAGAAAAGCTCTCAGCTTAGCTTGTGCTGTAGTGATTTTGGAAATTTCAAAGGTCTGATCCATTCTGAAAATGATAATAATAATAATAAAATGAATAAATGGCAGGTTTGTGGTAGGATGAAAAAAAAAAACAAAGGTAAAAGTCTACATTTGTTTAAAACAAACAAATAGAAACATAAAATTTAAACACAATCAAACCACTAAGAACGGACAATAATAAAAAAAAATCTGTTTAAAACTAGGAATTAAAACAAAGAACTAAAATGAAAGCTAAAAATCGAAACGTAAAATAAGAATACAATATAAAAAGAAACAGACACAACATAAAATAATACCATTAAAATGTGCAAGAAAACGAAGCAGCAGCATCCGACGGACAGGACACAGGTAAGGCGGCGGTGCCAGCAGCATCCGACGGACTGGACACAGGTAAGGCGGCGGTGCCAGCAGCATCCGACGGACTGGACACAGGTAAGGCGGCGGTGCCAGCAGCATCCGACGGACTGGACACAGGTAAGGCGGCGGTGCCAGCAGCATCCGACGGACTGGACACAGGTAAGGCGACGGTGCCAGCAGCATCCGACGGACTGGACACAGGTAAGGCGGCGGTGCCAGCAGCATCCGACGGACTGGACACAGGTAAGGCGGCGGTGCCAGCAGCATCCGACGGACTGGACACAGGTAAGGCGGCGGTGCCAGCAGCATCCGACGGACTGGACACAGGTAAGGCGGCGGCGGCGGCAGCAGCATCCGACGGACTGGACACAGGTGAGCTACCAGAGTTACATTGTCACGTATTAATTGCAGTGGTTTCAGGTGTTGGTGTTACAAGAGGTTCGGCTAGCACATCGGTCAAGTCTGCAAGCAGAGTTCCTCCCATTAACCTAAGTGTCTTATTGCTGGTATTAATTACCCAGATTGGTTACTCCAACTAATGGGACAATTCCTCACTTTTAGGTATAACTAAAGCATCATTAGATGGCTCATCCAAAATTGCTTGTGCTTTTCCAAGCATAGACGGTACTTTTGCCGAAAGGAAGCGACCAAATTTTGGCTGAAGGGTGACTGATGAACAAATTCGAGCTTTGGGGTGTACATTTTCTTTGATCATTTTTCCCACTTCAGTTTCTACCACATTTATACTGTCCTAGTCTCAAAGTAACGGTTTTAAAGTTACTGGTAACTTAACTCCATCAAAAAGCAAAATGTTCTGGGGTGGGTAGTTCTTGTGAATTAGCACATAACTACAACGCCTTAACACGTCCATACCTAACAGCAAATCATCTGGAAAAATGATTTCTTGGACAACACAAACTTGATGGAGCAAATGACCTTTCCTCACTTAAGTGGATTCAGACATCACACTCACCCTGCACATCCAAATTGGTTCCAGACACTCCCAAGAGCTTCCTACTTGGTTTAAGGTAAGGTTTCTGTGTGTATCAGGCACCTTAACTTGATGCCTTTCACATGTAGATGAATCATGGGTCTACCAGCTTTGCAACTTCTCATCGGCCTCCCAAAGAACTGCTCCCGAAATTTTGACGTAAGGTTCAGTCCAGGCTCGCTGTCTGGCCTGGCTATCTGGAAAGGGGCAGTTTTTTTCCGATTATGTCCAGATTGACTACATCCCCAGCATACATACTGTATTATGGAAAATAATAGTGAATTATATAAGAAGCAAGTTTTCATTTTTGAAAATTGTGTAATTTTGTGATACTGAAATGAAAAGGAAAATTTGTTCAATTTAAGTATGGATTTTGAAAACAAAATAAATTCCCAATGCACAAGGTTATCTGGAAGCATTGTTGAGTGAATGAATGCTACTCTCTGTGTTTTGATTTTGTTGCTGTATAAAATGCTATAAGCATATACATCATGAATGTATTATGTTCCTTCTATACAGCCTGATGGCTGACAGATTTGATTTGAGGCTGAAAACCATCTTTCAGGGGCAAGGTGCCATGATGTAAGTGTTTTGATCCATTGTTAGAAAATATGATATTATAAATTTGTGTTATCTCTCCAGTAGATTTAATATGATTTGATTATTATGGAATATTTTGTTTTGTTGCTGCTTCAGTATTTTGAATTACTGTTTGCAGGTTGAATGAAACGTACAGTGAATATTGATTTGGATCTACTACAAGTTCAATAAATCATTCTACACATGGAGTGTTTGGAACCATCCCTGATAGATGAGAGTTAAGTGATACACATACCCTTTTGGTTTCTCTCGGCAAGTCACGGGTGGAATGTCCTCGTTGGCGGTGAAAAGCACAGTATGGTTGTTCACCAACTGCAGAAGTTTCTTGTTCCACTCTTGTATTTTGGAGCCTTGTAGTCTGGGATGCTGTAAACATACCTAGAACTACCATTCAATGGGAATGTGTGACCTCACTATCATTCACTAGGAATGTTCATGCTCTAACTACAATTTAATTGGAATGCTTGGGAACTACATTCAAAAGCCATGATCAGGATCTACCATTCAAAAGGAATCCTCGGGATTTAACTACCATTTAAAGGGAATATTTGGGATCAAACTACCAATTACTAGGAATGTTCAGGATAGAACCACCAATCCCTAGCAATGTTCCGGTAATTATTCCCATTTAAATGGAATGTTCGGAATCTAAATACCAATAAAAAATGCTCTGGATCTGACTACCATTCACCACGAATATTTGGGATCGAAAAACCATTCAAAAGGACTGATCGTGACCTCACTACAGTTCACTTGTAAAGCTTAGGATCTAATGATTATTAGGAATTATCTAATGGTTCTTAGGAATGCTTGGCATCTAATTTATCATTCAATTGAAATGTTCAGAATTTATCAATCAGTAGGAATGTTCAGAATCTATCATTCATTAGAAATCTTTGGGATCTAAGTACCATTCAACTACGAGGATTCTCTCTACCATTTAAAAGGAATCAGGATCTCAATACCATTGAAAAGAAATGCTTGGGATCTAACTGCAATAAAGTAAGCTCTGGATCTACCAATGACTTGGAATGCTCTGGATCTTGCCACCATTCACCAAGAATTCTCGGAATCTCATTTAAATCCATTTAAAAAGGAATGTTTGGGATCTCTACCATTCACTACGAATGCTTAAGGATCTCAATACCATTCAATAGGAATGACTAGGATCTAGCTACCATTCACTGGGAATGCTCGGGATCTACCTTTCACTAGGAATGCTTGGCATCTACCTCTCCTAAAGAATGTTCAGGAATGGAGGAAGAGGAGGGCGACGACGACGTGGAGGAAAACACAACCAATACAAAACTGTAAGAGAAAACTTGAATAAATTAAGGGAACACTATTTTAAAATTCACGTTTTTGGAGGAAAGATATTCATTCAGGTTAGGTTTCAATTTCAATTTCCATTAGCTTTCTATTTTTTTTTAATTCAGATCAGATTAGGAGGCGTCAAGAACTTCTTATTTACTATAAGAAAAAGAACAATTTTCTTTCAGAGAATGACTTCTGATTGAAGACGTGATTTGAGAGCTTGGTTTTTGCTACAGAGAAAGACGCTAAGTAAAGGAAAACCTGATTTTTAAAAATATATTTCATCTTCACAACGATGCGTGGGGGACCGGAGGTTTAGGGGGGAGGGGGGGAGGGGGGGAGGATAATAGGAACTTGGAGAAATCGAAAGTGATTTATGAAACCTTAAAAATTCACATTTTCGAAAACACGAGTCTTTGTCCGACGGACGAAAATGGCTTCCGAGTGAGCAAGCGCAAAGCGAGTCCATTTTCAGAAACGTCGAGTCAAGTTTCTAACAATACAATTATAATAACACTCTATAGGCACACGTAAGTAAAGTGTGGTATCAGACGAACACAAAACTCCAAACCTAACCTTATCTACCATCTATTTATTTCCCAGACGGAGGGGACAGACCCATATAACCCCCCCCCCCTTAATTAGTACCTCGTGTCAAGTGTCCCATCAAAGTTACAGAAAATATTTGTCGCACATACCGTCAGTGTGGAGGGTACAGGTGAGCTGCCCAGCCATAGTCTTGCTTGGAAATAGAAAGTCCCTCCCTGCAGACTCGCAAGAAAAGCTCTCAGCTTAGCTTGTGCTGTAGTGATTTTGGAAATTTCAAAGGTCTGATCCATTCTTAAAATAATAATAATAACAATAAAATGAACAAATGGCAGGTTTGTGGTAGGCTGAAAAAAACAAAGGTAAAAGTCTACATTTATTTAAAACAAACAAATAGAAACATAAAATGTAAACACAATAAAACCACTAAGAACGGACAATAATAAAATAATCTATGAAAAACTTGGAATTAAAACAAAGAACTAAAATGAAAGCTAAAAATCGAAACGTAAAATAAGAATAGAATATAAAAAGAAACAGACACAACAGAAAATAATACCATTAAAATGTGCTAGAAAACGAAGCATAAAATAAGACTATAAAATAAATCTAAGACGGTCCAGCAAAATAAATTCAAAGGCTCTTATAAACATTGCATTATCTTCATATATCATTGCCTTTGGATTCTGTGGCCATAAACATCCACTCTACTTAACTTTTTGGTACGGTGATCCCACATCCCAAAAGT